GCTTCACCCCCCTTGTGAACCACTCCTGATTTAACATCCCCCCTTTTGACACATTGTCCAACCCATGTGTCAAAACAGCCCCAACAGCCCTCCACCGAGCCTTCTCAACTGGTGTAGCTAGCTGCTGAAGTGACGACATGTTGTCAGTGAAGGAGGAGACAGGGATTCGAACAAATGAGTGTAAGGTGCGTGAGGTGCGAGAGGAATCAGACTCTTCCTTTGCGGCTGAGTCAGCAGGTAAATTAGCAGACCCAATTTCTTAGGGAAACTGGGTCTGTACTGCTTGCAGAAATTGTCTACACTTCCAAATAGCCACAAAATCGTGCACTACCCCAAAAACATAGCGTGAGTCAGTGTAAATAGTCACGGTTTTGCCTTCTGCAAACGTGCAGGCTTCAGTTAGTACGATGAGCTCTGCTGCTTGTGCTGAGACATGGGATTGGTCCGGAACGGAGTACAGCAGAATCTGAAACAACAGAAAAACCCACCCGATTAGTGTCCCCTTGGTCGCGAGAGGCAGACCCATCAACATACAAAATGAGGTCAGTGTTGGTCAGAGGAACGTCTTTTAAGTCCGGTCTAGGTGTGCACACAGTCGTGTTCGTCACCTTCAGGCAAAGGTCAATAAGAGGGTTCTTACACCTTTTCCAAAATCAAATTCAAGCACTTTTCAAGCATCTTACAGCTGTTGTAAATTACATATTTATATGCACATACTCAAATGAGTATTTCCCTACCTCACATTAACTCAGATGTTCTTTATGCTATAAACAACCAAATGTGTGTTTCGTGATAGCATTCTACACGAAGATGAAAAATTAAAGAAAAGAAAACTAAGTTTAATATTTCAAAATGAGTGGTCTGTACATCTCAAAACCCAATTCAAGCGACCTTTCACCTCCACTTAATTAAATGCACTGGTTGCAAGATAAAAAATGTGAGTTAATTGATTTTAGATAAACAGTTTAAGTTGCAACATTAATTTATAAGTTGTGTTGATGTAATAATGTTGGTAATTACATCAACTTAATTGTGTCATTTGAACTCTGATTTCTGCATTAATTGATTTCAAACTAAATTCAAGTTGAGGTATTGTAATTCAATTGGCTTGATAACTTAATTGTTCTACCCCTTGAGTTAAGGATTTTAAATCCACTCCCACTTAAGATGCCTGGACAAGTTCCCACAGTTAAGACAAATAGAAATATACAAAGGACATTTTAAGGTGAGTGTCATCTTTTGTCATTCAAATACAACTCGAAATTCAAACTCTCCTGATTGAAACATCATGTGTTGAAATAACCAACTGCAGTTCAAAAATAAAAAGTGAATTGCCTAATATTTTTGTTGTGGAATCAATTAATTTCTTTCTTTAAAGGCAAAAACATGAATAAGCTAAAAGAAAAACCCTATTGAATACAATATTATTTGGAGCAACTTAATTTACAAATGGCTGTCAACTTAAAAACATCTGTCCATGTTCAACATGTGGTAATTAAGTATACACAACTTACGATTACATTTAAATCATACGGTAAAACAAGTTTTGTTTTTTTTTAGGTACTTTTAGGTTGGCAGTGAACATAAGTCAGAGGTACCTGGTGTACTTTTCCTTCACCACATGTATTTAATACCTTTAGTTACTTCACAGATGTGGATGAATGATGTGAAATATAATCAAGTGATAGGCCACGTTGGGCTCCATAATCAGACTTTAGTTCCACCTGGAGTAAATCCACCAGCTACCCTGCAGTATACAAAGTCATTCAAACTAGCTGCACCTTTACCAGCTTTGAGAACACTTTCATGATCAATCATTATCAAACATATCATATATATTATTCTGAAATGGACCAATCTGCACAATGAATACTTTTACAGTCGCTACTTTCACTATATTTTGATGAGAATACTTTTCTACTTTTACTTGAGGAACATTTTGAATGCAGGACTTTTACTGTACCACTCTGGTACCTCTACTTTTACTCAAGTACAAGATCTGAGTACTTATAATTTCACTAAAAGATCTGAGTACTTATAATTTCACTAAAAGATCTGAGTACTTATTCCACCTCTCTTGAAATGACCTGACCCAAAAATGTAACTGTTCTTTGTACATATTGGAGTTTAGACAAACTAGCCTTCTGGCCTTCGGCTGCGAGGTATTTTAACAAGGAAATGGTATCAGCTCCACACTGTTCTGCTGTGGGTGCGCAAATCATGAGGTCATCAAACTGGCCTTGTATGAGAGCGGTGCCTTTAGAAACTTGGAGAGAGACCAACCTTGTATACAATGCCTGGTTGTACACAGTAGCCTTGACACAAACGTGTGAATGTGTAAGGTTTACCCTTATATTCAAATGTGAACAAAATTGACTGTCTTTGTGTACAGGAACACTGAAAAATGCATTTGAGAGATCTTATGACAGTAAAAAAATATGCTGCAAAGGCTGGAACTTTTGGAGTAATCAGATAAGCGACTTGGGACGAGCGGGCATAGCTGCATAGCATTTACAGCTGTAAATCCTGGACAAATCTCCACTCATCAGGAGGTTTTGTCTCTGATCTTTTTGACAGGAAACACTGGAGTGCGTACCGGAATCGTTACACCGAATAATGACCCCTTGTTTAAACAGAGAGGTAAACACTGAGTCCATCAACATGGACATTAAACCTACGTCATATCTGTGAGCTGCACAGAGTGAGCATGGTACATCTGAAAGCGCGGCAGGAAGCTCAGAGATATGAGAATTACCTCATCATCCTCAACCAACAGCAATGTGCGCAGAACGGCTACGTTTGTGCACATTTTCATCTTATACATGTCACCTGACATATAGTACATAACATATTCTGTGTGTGTAGGTGTCCAATCAGTGACTGACTCCAAATCTTTAACGATTGGACCCAAATCCCTCTATCTCTCAGTGGGGCCCCTGGCTAGTGAAATGTGTGGACCGCCCCTGGGATTTGACACAGTTTGTGTTTGAAACCAGCTGCGCAGCAAACTCCTCCAAGCATAGTTTTAAGCATGAGCTCCTCATTCACACCTGAAAAACTCTCATCATTTACACGGATCATCAACAATGTTAGTACAATGCAAAAAGAAGCTTCCATGAACACCGCAGGTGGAAAAACACGTTGATCAGTCCAACGCAACAACGCCTGAGAATCAGGATATGTCAGCAGCCATTTAATACACATTCACACAGTTCTTTATCATCAAATGCCAGTTTTTTAACCATCGTAGGAGATGGCTGCCGGACTTTAAAACCCTCATTTGTTGAAAAATTAGGTCTAAGCCGAACCGGAGAATCAGATCTCTGCCCAGTAAATTTATTAGGCAGACGGAGGATAAAAGAAACTGTTTTTTTACTGATGTGGGAAATGGATTGACTATCATCACCGTTATCTCCACTCTGAAGTGATACAAAAACTTCTCCTTTTCAGTCACCCCAGCCGCTCCTATTGAGTGCATAATCTACCACTACATTTGCAATCAGGCAAATCTGCCCTTTTTACTATAGAATATCAACACCCATGATAGCTAAAGTTAGTGTGGGACATTTCTCAAATGCTGTTTCACTGTCATATTTCAAATATGTACCCTCTTTAACCACAGGCATGTCTTCTACATTTTCCAATTTTCAATAGCATGATGTGTGTGTGTGTATTCACTTCCCTGGTTCGATGATGCTGGCTGAATTTCCGTCTCGCTCGATCGGGTCCCCTCCTCCCCATCTGGTGTAGGTCAGTCTGATTGTGAATTACGTCCTTGCTGTCCCCCTCTCTGCCTCCACTCGCCAGTGTTCTGTGAGCAGTCCCATAATCCAATGTTCAACACTGCCACACTTGAAACATCTTTCGTCAAATGAAGGTCTTGCTTCTCGTCTTCTGCCTCGGAAAACCTCTTCTGCCTCTCCCTCGGTATTGTAACCGGCCAGCATTCTGCGTATTAGTCTGTGAGTCTGTTGAGAAAGGCATTACTGAGGTGTGTTGCCCAAACACCTGCTTGGGCTTGGGTTTGTTTATCCCGCTGTTGTCCCCATCTACTTGGGGCTGATGGGGGTGGCGAGCTTGGAGTTGACTGCATGGCTGGGGCTTGTAGTGGCGGTGGAGGTGGTTGAGGTGGGCCAGCCGGATTGCCAGGGTTGTACCCCGGGGGAGGGAAAGGATACCCAGTCGAGGAGAGGTCATTCAGGCCTGCAATGGAAGAACACAGAGATGTCTGGGGTTTACATGGTTTTGGAAATAATTTATTTTCCTTCTTTTCTTCACATTCATCTTCAACCTTAATATTTTCTTTAATGCCCAAGGCCAACTGCCTTCTTTCACGGCATTCTGCTTAATCCTCCCAGTATTTATTATAAACACTTTCTGTGAGTGTCCAGTTTTCTATATAAGTCTTTTACTTTAACTTTATTTTTATTTCTACTTCTTGTAATTTATTCTTTAGGTTCTTGATTTTTAATTTACTCAAAAAACCTCCCTTTGGAAATCCGAACATTTCCCTCCATATACTTAATTTAGACAGACTGTCCTCACCATATTTTACTCTCATGACGTCTACAATCGGGCCCTCAGGAGGGTGTACAAGCCCCCTACTTTGCCTTGCTCCCATGACAAAATCTTTTTTTTCATCCGTCGATGATGTGATATTAGTTTCTCAGTACAAATCACGCAAAAACTGATCGTAAACCCACGATCTACGACGGGATAAACCCTATGTGATGTTAGTTTCTCAGTACAAATCACACAAAAACTGATCGTAAACCCATGATCTACGACGGGATAAACCCTATGTGATGTTAGTTTCTCAGTACAAATCACACAAAAACTGATCGTAAACCCACGATCTACGACGGGATAAACCCTATGTGATGTTAGTTTCTCAGTACAAATCACACAAAAACTGATCGTAAACCCATGATCTACGACGGGATAAACCCTATCTTCGAGCAGTCCCTCTCATAAATGTCATGGAGTTTTAATTACGTTTAACTTTAAACAATTTAGACACTGTACATCTCACCCAGTATTGAAAAGCCTTTTTAAGTCCGTTTGATCTCGTGAAGTCAATCAGTTCCACCCCCGGCGCTGGTCCTCTCGTCCCATACGGTTTCTGTCGGGGTAGAGGAAGATCCGAGGATCCTGGAGCCGGCCACCACCAGCGTCCGGAGGTGTTCCCAATCGAACTTGCAGAGACCCTGCTCGCAGCGCCAATTGTTATGGAAATCCAAAAACCCCAATACTGTAGAGTACAAGTCAGAGTGATTAAAACAAATAAATGGTGAAAACAGACAGAGTTGTCTTTCTGGTGATGTTTATTCGAGGCCTCAAACAAACATTAGATACAATAAAATATAGACACAGGTCTCACAGAGTATAAAATATGTCTGCGCGAGTGTGCGCAGTTCAATATGGTAACAAAGCTTATATTGAGGAAAGGGTGGGAAGGTCAGAAATCTGTCTTCACACGGTCACATTGTTATTAGACACATGTCCTTGAGCTGTAGATCTCAGGAAAGGCAAGTTCTCCTGTGACTATGTGTGAGTCTTTCATAATAGCAGCTGTGGCCTTGAAGTAGAGTAACAAGAGGCAAACAGCACATCTAACCAAATGAGAAGCATTTGGTTACTTTGAACATATAAGGAATAAAATAAAAATTTCCACTACAGACGTCACGTCTCTACAGGCCCGGTTCCAGAACAAAATGACTCAGGGTGCATCTGAGATTAGAGAGGGTGCAGTGGTAAAGTGCTATTTTTATAAGTGGGGAGTGGACCTAACACCTCTAGGGGGGTCCTCACCTCCTCTAGGGGGGGGGTCCTCATCTCCTCTAGGGGGGTCCGGGGGCATGCCCCCACGGGAAGATTTTTTTTTAAATATTGAAGTTAAAAGCATCAATCTGGTGCACTTTGAGAGCAACATTAAGAGATCTATGGATACATCTCTCAACACCCATATGAAACAGAACTGTAAACAGATTTTCTTTTTCTTTATGGATATTTTACAAATCACTCCCCTTTTAAACAATTCTTGTTTTACTGTCATATAGTATTTCATTATTAGTGAGTGAGTTACTCAGATGAGTACCATTTAATTTAGTATTATTAAAACCATGTACATCATCACCTTGGTCCCATCATATACTCTGGGAAGAGAATTTACTGTGCTTGAAAACTGGTATCACATCATGATGTGAAGATGGCTTTGTGATGTGGAGAACATTTCAGCTGCAACATTAGCTTGTTGATAGGCTTGGGATACGAGATAAGATTTTGATATGTGTGAGGTGTAAAACAGAACAGTAGTCTATACTAAAAAAAAACACTTTTGACTAGAGTGCAACACAACCCACTTTTTAATAACATGTAACGTAGCAGCCATTTTCTCAAAAGATCTCATGTTGTCCAATTTTTCCTGTAGGAGCTTCAAAGATATTGGCACACTGGAACCACCAGGGAGCACAGGATCCTTATTGGACAGAGTCAGAGGTCAAAGGTTAAACCCATAATAAATTGTACATAATTAGATTTTCAATAGATAAACTCAGTACAATAGTATTACTTAGCCAACAACTTCAACAGCCTAGGTTACATAATCATGTAAAAATAAATATATAATTTATACAATAAAATAACTAAAGTGATACAACAATATTTCTTACCCTCAGAAGATATGTAGCCTCCTGGAAGCTGTGTTGAATCTTCTCAGCAATCTCTCCTTCCACTCTCCAGTGAACTTTTTGGTAAGGTCCTTCTCAACAGCGATCTGGATGAGACAGGCTTTTCTTTTATGCAGCATGCTCCTTCTGTGTTCACTTAACACATTTTCAGAGTTGAGAAGGAATTTTCACATGTTGCAGTTGATGCACCGAAGGTTAATCTCAGCTTCAGTGTTTCTAACACAGTAGGCTGCCAGAGGCTCGCAGTATCTTCTCAAAATTTTCCTGTGTTGTCCAGTTTTTGTCTGATTGGGACATTTCCTCCTGCAGAAACTGCCTTGCCACAGCAAACTCAGCTTCCTTCATCTCTGTCCCTGTTAAGTCAAGCAGTGGTCTCACTTTATTTTATTTTAGGTGCACAGGGCCTCTACTAGTTTGCTGTTTCTTTCACCAAATCTAACTGTAATTTCACTTGTATACAATCTGAGGTCAACTACGGGTGCCAGGAGAGTTACGCAATTTACGCTGTCTCATCTGCAAAGTGAAGGTTCTACATTACACTGACAATATCCACAGGAAAAGAGATTGAAATGGACTCCTCAGCGCTAGAAGACTTGAAGCTAGAAGTTGGTGGTAAACTGTACACACTGACAAGAGGCGCATTCACACTGCGGTACTTTTCCCACAAAGGTTCATGTGAACTTAGTTCATGTGAAGTCTTTAGTTCGCATGAACTAAGTACAGATCGCGTTCACACTGGAAAAAGTCCCTGGGGGTGGATTAGGCAAATGAAGCCGCTGACGTCACTTGTTCTTCTTCTGCTTTGGGTTTACTGGCAGGGCCGCAAACCACTTCACGGCGTATACTGCCGCCCAAAGTCCCCGGCCGGAAGTCCCCGGAGTTGGGGACTGGCTTCAGTAGAAGCTGCTGGGACTCCCAGCAGCTTCTACTGAAGCCTTCCGAGTAAATCGCCAGAACGCCGACACCTCCTCATCTCCACCACTCCCATGTTTTTTTTGTGTTGCCATAAGTTAGTCTCTCTGCGTTTCTGCGCTGGGCTAATGCTAATGCTAATAATGCTAATGCGAGGATAATAAAATGGCGGCTTCACAAAACTTTTTGGGAGTTTTACGGGGCGTGGTTTGCAATCCGCCCAGCCAATCAGAAATATAGCTCTTTTCTCACAAGAGAGCCGCACGAAAGTCCCTGCTCTCTAGCAGGGATTTTCGTGGGGGTAAAAAGGTTCACATGAACTAATTTTAGTACCGGCTCTTTTTGGTGTGAACGCGATAAAAGAGTTCTCATGAACTAAGTTCACATGAACCTTTGTGGGAAAAGTACCGCAGTGTGAATGCGCCTAAGGGATGATTTGATTGAAGTGTGTGATTTCCTAACTATTGCCGGGTCAACTTTTGAGTATGTATCAGGTAAAAACCATTCGTCTCTCATCTCACATGTTACAATGCACTTGGAGAGAGAAGAGCTAAGTGAACTTGAGGATCAGGGTATGGCAGAGCTACTTGTTCTAAAAGATAAAATAGTTGAGTTACAACAGGCTGCTTTATTAAGAGAAGATAACAGAGGAAAAGAGCAGAGTCCAGGTGACAAACAGACAGACGTGGTGCAGGAACATGTCATACAGCCGTCAGAAAGAGAAAGTTTGCTTAAAGAGATAGAGAAACTACAGTCAGCCTTACGGGCGTGTCTGACAGCTTGGGGATTTCGTGACCAACAACCAATCACATGAATATCACATGAATATCCCGCCCCCGACATACAAAGCAAAAAAACCCGGTTCTTCTACACTATTGTCAAATAGGAAGGGCTATGATGAACATTTATTTTTTTAACATTTTGAACATTTATGAGATTAATGTTTATGGTGCTATTTTATGCTACATTCCATGCTGGCTAATGATACTGTCTATGCTTGCTAGCAACGAAGTAAACTAGCAACGAAGTAAACTGGATATAAAATCCCCAAACAAGCGAAAACCTACCAGTTTCACCCACTGCCTCTGCCACCTCCCTCCATGCCTGGTTCCTCCGGTTTGTATCCCAGTAAGTAAATAGGGACTGGTCATAAAGAACCGGGTGATTTGCTACCGCAATAACTAAGTTCTCCTCCATTTTTGTGGAATATAGAAATGAACTGCGGGTCTGGTTCTCCCAGCTTGCACGCGGTTTGATTGGCTAGCGCTTGAACTGTCAGATTTGCATAAACGGATCTGATTGGCTGTCGCTTCCAGCTCAGCCTCAAAAGTTGAACATTGTTCAACTTTGGAATCCTGAACATCCTGGAAATCCTGGAAATCTTCGCCTCGCCCCCCCACAATGCAGTTCGGCGACAAGCGAGGGAAAGTGACGTCATCCCCATTCAAAGTCAATGGGCGGAGACGCGCTGGAAGCGGTGGACAAATCGCCAAAAGCTGCTGTGTGTACGGGCCGTTAGCGTTTTCACTACAGGCAAAACCAGACCAGACCGGTGGGGCCCAAAGGTTAGTGAGTGGGGAAGGTAATACTATTAAACAAGACAATGTGATTGTCCAACAGACCCCCCAACCACGTGTCTCATTACAGTGGAGCAGAGAATTCAAAATATCAGGCCAGATTGGTGAACCAGGTCAAAAAGACAAACTTAAATTCTCTAGTCTAGCACATCAAATTGAGCAAGGCATGAGCAAGGGATTTTCTGAAATATAAATAGTGGATGCAGTGATAAGGGCAATAGCACCAGGCCTACAACTACGCAGCTATTTGGAGGGAAAAATCAACCTGACTTTACCTACCTTGAGGAGGATACTCAGGTCCCATTACCAAGAAAAAGGAGCAACAGAACTGTACAAACAACTGACCTCAGAGGTCCAAAATAACAAGGAGACTCCACAAAACGTCCTGATCCGCGCTCTGGATTTAAGACAGAAAATTCTGTTCGCTTCATAGGAGGCAGAATCTGATCTAAGATATGATCCTGTCCTCGTACAGAGTATGTTTCTCCACACTGTTCTCACAGGCCTGCAAAATGACAACATTAGAAGTGATCTTCAGCCGTATTTGCAACAGACAACATCAAGTGATGAGCTGCTCCTCGAAAAAGTTAACATTGCTTGTGCCAACGAAGCAGAGAGACAAAATAAAAATAAACTACTTGCCCAGCAGCGGCCAACCACAGTGCACTCAGCTCAATCCAGCGAGACAACTGCAGAGAAAAAGGAAAAAAATACTAATCCAGACCAAAACAGCAGATTTCAGCCTGATGTTCTGAGTGAACTGAAAGAAATGCGGTCTGATATGGCATTACTGAAAAACATAGGCGTAGAAGTTGCACAAATCAGAGAGTCAATGCGACAGCCTAACCAAGCACAGCCATAGTATTTCACCTCACCTATACCACAAGAATGCATCCCCCCTCCTCAGTTCCAGTATCCACAGCAAAACCACTGGCCACCCCCAGGACCAGGGTAGAGAGGAGAGACAGCTCAATATCAAAGAGGGTTCGCACCACAACACAACTTCTCCGGGCCAAGTCGTGCACGCTTAAGAAAATGTTTTGGCTGCAAGCAAAATGGAAGTGAGTATTGCACCCATTGCTACAGGTGTGGTATAGTGAACATTTTCTCGCAGGTTGCAGGCTGAGAGGAAACGGACCAGACAGAGAGGTCCCTTTAAACGAAACAGGCTTACCCCCACGGGACAGGGAGTAACCAACAACAGTGTAATGTCCCAACAGCATTGCTCATACTGTGGTGTCCCTGAAAACGAACAGAAATTCAGAAAATGTGCATCGTGTAAAGAAGACAATTACTGCTCTAAAACCTGTCAAACAGAACATTGGCCAAAACATTACAAAAAATGCAAGCAGCCCCCTCACGCGCATGTTAATCAGTGCTCTCAACCAAGTGCAAGCACAGCCCACACCAGAAAAGAGGACAGCCATTCTCGTCTTGTGGCGTTGGTAGGAAAAAGGTGTATAGTTGAGTGCTACATCCAAGACCGTAAAATTAAAGCATTGTGGGATACAGGCTCCCAAGTCTGCATTGTTGATGAAAAATGGAAAAAGAGACATTTGCCACATGAGAAGCTAAGAGATGTTTCAGAGTTACTGGATGCACCGGATAATTTGAATATCACTGCTGCTAACAGAGAGAGCATGCCTTACAAGGGCTACATTGAGGTAACTTTTGGATCAGCTGCAGAATGAGCTGATCCCAAAGAACTTATTGTCCCCATGCTAGTGATGAAAGGCAGATCTCTCTCACAGCCTATTCTAGGCTACAATGTCATTGAGCGAATAGTGAAAACCAGCACTTCAGAACAAATGGATGTTAGAAGAAGAGAGCAGTTGCATGAGACTTTAACAACAGCTATTCCCAGTCTTGAGAAAAAGAATGTCACAGCCTTCATTGACCTAGTGACTACAGAACAGTTGTGACTATATGGTAAAAACCACAAAAGGGAAAGTCATGGTTCCTAAACACTCTTCTGTTCAAATTGACTGTAAAGTACAGACACAGCCACTGAAGAGCCTGACATAAATCCTCAGTGGGCTGAAGGCCTTGAGTTTTGTGATACATTGGTGATGCTTAAAAGTGGTGCTTCACCTTACATTATTCTCGATGTGCAAAACCCCACCGATCACGATATTGAGTTGGCAGGAAGAACTGTTGTGGGCAGAGTGCAGCAAGTCCAGGCTGTGTATCCAACTACAGTGTTAGAGAAACCAAATCAGCATCTTCCAGTGTCAGTCAATCAAGTGAATGCAAAGAGTGAACATGATGCAGACATTCCATGGAATCCACCAATTAACCTGAGTCATCTAAGTGAAACCGAGAAAGTAATGGTGCAAGATATGCTTCGTGAGGAATGTTCATCTTTTTCGAAGTCAGATGATGATATTGGATGTATTGAGAAGCTGAAGTTGAGCATATCACTTACAGACACAGATCCTGTAGCACGAACGTACGCGTCTGTGCCAAAGCCACTATATAAGGAGATGAAAGACTATCTGAAGAAACACACTCCTCAATGTCAGTTTCGGTACTTTAAGGACAAGGATGACGACACCCTGAAACAGAGCAATGCCGGAGGATAAGCTGACAAAGTACTACATACATGCATGTCATGACCAATACACATATATTCAATTACATAGAGTAAAGACACACCAAACAATAGTGGAAACAGTCTTACATGAGTGAGTGGATGAACGTCTCAACTCGAGGCGGAG